TATTTGAAGAGTAATTCGCGAAATTCAGAAGTATGTCGTCGCTGGAGGCTGTGGAGCTGATTCCGACTGTTGGAGATCAGAAAGTAGACGGAAACAGAAACCTTTTATCCCATGTATCAAGTATCATCGTGCAAGGTGTATCTTTCTTTGCTCTGGAAAAGAAGGGATAACTTCTCTCTCTCTCTCTCTCTCTTCTTCTCTCGCTACTTTTCCTTTCGGAATCACTTTCCTGATATCCGTGATCCTCACTGATCTCGCAAGTAGCTAATTGTTCCATGGAAAACATGCACAAAGTTTTTTTCTGAGAAATTACCCACGTTAGAATCAAGATAATTTTCAGAATAACAGTGGAGGTATAATTATCCTTTCTTTTTCTCGTATAAAGCGACAAGATCACGCGATGAAAGATACTTTCAATCGAATTTCCGATGTTGATCGATTGATACATCGGATGCACGATACGTCGAGAATATTTCTGCAATAATTAATGCAATATACCCAGTGGAACGACGTGTACGTAAGTATCTCTACTGCATCGGAAGCAACACTCGTTTGTTTCTACTAGCCGCTGACCAACAGACACCCGACAGCTGAGAATACACATTAATATGCACTATCTGGGGGCTATTCGCAACACTTGTAATAATAGTAAGAGTAGTCGTCGAATACACATTGTGATCACTATTGAAGAACAAATTTTCGAGACACGTCTAATGTCATTAAGATTTGATAAACGGAATAGAATCGATATTTTATTCAGTACTCTCTACAGTGTACCATTTGTGGTTAAAATTCCATAAAATACAAGAATCTTTAGTGCAATCTTTAAAGAATCCAATATATACTGAATTCCACCGATCACCATCATTAAGATCTTCTAAATTCAACTTTATATTCGATTTTCTGAATATTTAGGGTTGACATTGTTTGAAAAATTCTTATTATCGCGACAACGAATCCGAGAAGAGATTGACGATTTACTTAAATCGATGGAAGAACTTGTGTAATTGGTACAGCTTTCACGGCAACAAACACCACGTCCACCCACGAATCGCGCGCTGACAGCCAGTCGAATTGATCGCAACTGTGGTCGTGGGCTCTATTTACAGAAGCGCTCGATCACAATGGCTATCCAGGGTTCGACGTGGCCGCAACGAAATTCCCTGTTGCCGTGGCGAGTATCGAAACTGTATTACTTCGAGGCATGTCTTTGAGAGATAGGATAGGTAGTCGGACACTGAAGGTCCGTTAATCGCGGCTGATTGCATGAGGTCAAGTCGTGAGATTATCTTGTTCTGCGTATATATAGATCTTTGTGTTTCCGACCAAAAGATAGTCGAAACTAATTTACGTGAAAATCAAAGAAATTTTCGGCACCCCGAAAGGTACCCAGAATGAAACGTAAAAATATATAATATTTTATAGAATGAGTGTCTTGAGTTGTTTGAAGATGATGTCGATTCTTTTTTCTGTGATTAATAATTCACTTAAACGAAACGTTGGATGAATTTGTAAATAATGTCAAACATCGATTGTAATTAAGAAAAGAACAAATTTTCTGTGATGAATGTACTATTGTGCAGAAACACCTCTACATTCCCTGTCTAATCTTAGCTTGTCCGTTAATTTAATAGAAATATTTTGGAATATAGTTGCTGAATAATTTGGTTAATTTACAATATTGCAGAATTATTCAAATTCTGTGGAACTGATCTTCGTATCGTTGATCGAAACTTGTTGAATGGTAATGCTTCTCGAGGTTAATCGTAGTTGGCGGAATAACGAGGCAAAAATTAGATCTTGCGTCCTTCCAGAATCTCCGTAATGGATGCAGCCACCCTTGAAAATCCAATGAGCCCCGGTTTAATTCAAAACGCGCTATCCAACCGGGGAATTTCACATATCGATCGGATCCATTTTGGTTGAATGCTCGGCGAAGAAAAGGATTTCCGAGTAGAGTGGATAAAATCGATAGACCTATTTCCCAATTGCGGTACTTAAAGTGTTTCCTTAAAGTATTTTTACTATCTACTTCAGAATTCAATGACAACGATCGTATCGTGCGTTATTTCACAATCGGAGCTGCACAAAAGACGTTTCTCAGGAGGCAAAATGGAGTCATATGAAATTCCTCGACTATCTAAAGTCTGCACACTTCATATTTACGTACACTGTTTAACTTCCGTTAAGAAAATCTTTTTACAGACAAGGTGCTATAAAGTTTCCGATAAAAATCTAACAGAATGTGAATATGTGAATCACTACAGACAAAGATTTTCCAAAGTAAGATAACTCTTCCTACACTCGAATCAGAGACAGATAAACTACCCTACGATCAATAAAAGACAACTAAACACAACTTACAAGTACTCATTCATAATAAAATATTAATTCATCGACGAATACTCATATTCCATTGAAAAATCAACAGACGACAAGTGTATCTATTGTTCATTATTCACTACCTATTTCGTATAACAAATTCTTTCGTTTGTCCAAATGCTCTATTAAGATTCATTTCCCCCGGTATATCCAATCTCCCTTGACCGATCAACGATCATCAGCTTGAAGAATCGGCTACATTTCCGTGGCATACGCGGAGAGTGTTTCTGGAAATCACGGCGAACCACCGCGCCGCGTCGCGCCGATGGAAAAGCTCTCGCGGATTTGGCAACACTGTGACGCGTAGGGCGTCTCGCTAACACTCGACGGCGCGAAGGACGAGGGGGCCACACGACGACCGAGCGAAAAACCGTGAGGTTTCACCGTGGGGGTGGTGAGGGGGAGGGGGGAGGGGCGGAACCGTGAGCGGGTAGGGGAAAGTGGCGAAGAGAGTGACGCGGATTAGCGGAGGGGGGGTGGTCACGTGAACGGACCATGGTGGGGCATCGAGAGAACGAAGGTGGGGTAGGGGGCCAAGTGGGCGGGGCAAGCGGTTTCTCCTTCGCGGATGAAGCGCGCAAGTCAAGCCAGCCAGTGGAGGGAGACGGTGAGGGGCCAGGGGGAGGGGCGAGAGGAGCGCGGGTGATGCTCGTGACGCTGGCTAGCGCGAATTTTGGCACAGCTCGCGAAAATTTCTCACTCGGCTTTTCGCGGAAAACTTGGACGGCTCTCGACACGGCCAATCGGCTTGAATTATGACTGATGAAGTGCCGTTCCGGATTAATGGAGAAAACGGGCTGTCGAGGCGCCTCGAAAATTGTTGGATCGACGCGTCCGCAACGAGAGGGGATTCGCCATCTGGTGAACTGCACCGGATACAGACGGATTGGATGGGACGACAGGGACGAATTTTTGATTTTACGGTCAGGTTTCGGGTACATGAATATTTAAACACGTTCCGTGTATGTATGTATCACGAAAGAGTGTACGTATTTCGTTAGAATCGCTGTAAACTCGAATTTTAGTATGGACGTTATTACTTTGAAATACATTAGCGTTTAAAAATGTCAAGTAATCATTAAAATTTGTGCACTTTTAAGTAAGACAGTATAATGATCTTTTATCAAATACTGTCATTATCACCCGTAAATATACTATCAGCGTGAATATACTGAAAAGTCATTCATCTCTAATAAACAGTCAATCTCTAGAAGTCCGTGGTATTCGAGGATTCAGTCCCACGTCAAGCGCCGGTAAAAATCCAGCGTGTCAATCGACACGGTTCTCGGGCAGCGAAGCTTCGAGTAACGTCGATCGTAGTTTCCCCTTCTCCACGGATCCCCCGCCTACGGAACGACGATCCGCGGGGAGGGTGGTGTTAATGGGCGTATTCGCGGTTAACACCCTTAAACTGGCAGTGGTGGGGGGACACGAGTAGAGAGAAAGGAAGAGAGAGAGAGAGAGAGTGAGAGAAAGACATCGTGAGAAGAACCGTCGAGAAGCGTGATGTAGACCGGTCGAGTGGGGAGGATTGTAGAGAAAGAGACAGTGAATGTGATGCGAGACGGGGAGAAGCGTCAAGAGAAAGAGAGAGGGACGTCCGGAAAGGCGTCGAGAGCAACGCCGCTGGGATTGGCGCCGGAACGCCAATCCGAACTACGAGCGCTCATTATCGCCCGACAGCCGCTGGGGAAGGGCGATTCTATAACGTACCTTTTCTCCTTGTCCGATCGGTGACCGGTCGTATTTCCTTTTCGGTCGCACGAACGGGTCTCGCTATAGCATGCTCAGTCGACGAACCAGCTTCCCCCACCAGGTGTCCGCCTGGCAGGGGACGTAGGGGAAGGGAGGAGGAGCCCCTGCACCGTCTCAGTCTTCGCGTCGCTGCCCTCCAGCATTCACGCCTCCCGCGTCCGTTCGGCGGCGCAGGCACACTCCGCTCGTCTGTATACACGCACACGCGTCCGTCCCCCCGGGTACACGTAGATCCACGCGTACACACGCCCTGAATCCGGACGAGAACTTTAGCACACCAACACCTCCGCGGGAGGTGTGGGGGTGAGCCCCCAGAGGAGGTGTCAATCCTAGCGCTGCTCAGTGACCATCGCGGCGCCACCCAAGTAACACCTTTCGTCCGGCTCTCCAGCCCAGGTTCCGGAGACCAGAGACCCGTGCTTCTAGAAGCCCTCTCTCTTCTCTTGCCTTTTTGTCGCCTGGTTTTTCCGCGTGCTGGGATACAGAACCACGACTGTCCTCGATCTGTTCTGAACTGTCCCCGGCTACGTGCCCGTCGGACGCCGCGTTCCAACCAGCCGGCGCGCGCGCCCTTTCGGCTCGTAACGTTTTTACTCGCGCCGCGTCCTCACTCGTGGGGCTACCGCGTCGCGCCCCACGGGTTTTAATCGTCGTCAGTGAGGTGATCAGCGTGTACAGGGAGGGAACTACCCCCCCGGAAGTACCTGGTGGACACAGTGTGCGCGCGCCTCAGTGAACAGTGAAACGCAAGGATACTCGAAGCACAGTGAATTCCAGACGTGGCCCCAAGAGTGTGGACTGTCTTATCTTTCTCTCTATCTCTGTATCTCTTTTTTTTTCTATCATTTCTCTCTGCAAACGAGTTGCATCCACGTAAAGATTCGCCGAGTGTGTACCAGTTGAATGATCCAAGTGTGCTCCGTTACGGTGCTAGAACCGCGTGTTCCGTTTAACCCGAGTTAAGGCTCAGGCACACACACAGAGAGAGAGTGCTGTCCCGAGAAGCCTAACCGCGTCACGAACAGACCCAAACCCGTCACCACGACGTACTACAATGTCTTCTGGTGGGTTCGCGACGGAGCTCGTGGCGATCGTGAGATCCCAGTGGGAGCGCGAGCCTAGCGAGGATCGCGGGATCCGCTCTTGAGCGGCTTGCGGACAGTGGAACGAACACAAACATGTCCGAGAACGAACCGAACAGTTAACGAAGTGGACGATATCTATTCTAGGTGTGACAGAGTATATAATAGGATAGCGACCAAGGCAATAAGAAGAAGACGAAGAAGAACACAAACAAACGAAAAGAAAAAAATAAAGCAAACAATCAGTGAGGAAACAACAAACAGTGCGCGTTTAGGTATAGAGTTCCCCCAACGGTTTTAGCAGTCACTCGAAGAGGAATCTCGCGCGACCGGCACACCCGGCCCGTCTCGATGAGATTCGAACAAGACACGGCGTGCAGGGGTACCCACTGCGCCAGCACTCCGCAACCCTCTGCGCTGCAGCAGCGACCACGGGTCAAGGAGGTGGTGGAGGAGGTTAGCTCCTCCGCGAAGGACATCGAAGGTCAGCGACGTAGACGAGAATTGGAGACTAACGTGGTCGAGGGTGCGAACACGGGGCCGAGGGCCGAGGCGGGGGGGCCTGGGATGGCGTACCCCGCGTCAGCGACGGCTCTGAATCAGCACTCGCCATTCGCCACGTCGATCACCGGTACACCGTCCAGCAATCCGAACGGACACATAACCGGCGGTCATCTGCCGGCCCCAGCTGCCCCGAGGCCGACGGACTTCAGTGTATCGTCGTTGTTGACCGCGGCTGGCAATCATCCGCCGATATTGGGCGGCTCGTCGTCCCAGGGTAGCGCGTCCCCGCCACCAGGAGGTCCTGGAAGTCCGGCCGCAGCGCCGGAAACACCGCCGCCGTTGCCCAGCCAGAGGGAATTGTCGCATCCGTCCTCGGCGGTGGTTGTTGCGAGCTACTTCAGCGCGGCCACCCTGGCGGCAGCTGGTTTCTACAATCCGGCAGCTCATTTGCCAGCAACCAGCTCGCCAGGCCCGACGGCCCATCATCTGTCTGGAAAAGGGATTCTCAGTGGCGCGCATCATCATCCCCATCTGAATCCGCACGGGATCACGCCACCAGGTGAGCAGACAAGTGTTTCTTCTCCTAATCCGTGGGAAAACCGATCGAGTAGAGTGTTGTGTCTTGATTCGGCCGGATAATTCACACGGACACGGTGTGTGTCGTCTTCGCGTGATGAAATTACGCCTATTACTCTCGCGGTTCGGCTGTGAACGAAGGTTTCAGGAGCAGTGTGTGTTTCTCTTGTTTCTGCTAGGAGGATCGAATCGACGTGTCCTGGGCGCGTTTTGGGGAGTTTCAATTTGGGTTCGAGAAGAGGTAACTAAGGAGAAAGATGTAGGAATATATTTGGTTTAATAGGAAGATGTTGGGGAAGAGGGTAAGCATCGTGTGCTCTGAGCTTGTAATCGGGCTTGTTAGGATTTTATCGTGAGTGAATTTTGTAGGTGCAAGTGTGTAATGATGATGACAGTGCTAGGAATAGGTAAATAGACTCTTGCTGGGTGGTATTTAGGGAGCTGAGATATGTTTCGAGTGGGTATAGCTTGAAGTTTGACGAAGTGTCCGGTGTAGATCTTCATTTTGAGTGGAATCATGGTTCTCCGATATTGTACAATCTTCGAAATGGTTGAAATAGATGTCTAGCAGGGTAGAGTGGAAGGAAGTCTGTAAAATATGAAATACACTTGCATAGGTGAATGTTCTGTATGACGCAAGGTTATAGAATAGAAACATAGATCAGTTTACTTTCTTGAACTTAATCTTTGAATGTTGTACATATCAGAAAATTTCTATATCGATAACACACGCCAAAATTGATATAGACATGCAATAATCATTGTATTATTAAAGCTTGGAGCTATTAGGTTCACCAAAATTCGAAGTCATAATGGAAATTTTCAATACCAACTGTTTCTCGAGCAGATTTTAAGAGAACAAATTTATCGCAACCAAATAGTAATACAAATATTCATATAGAAGTGTTCCATCCGAAGGATCAAGTTGTAGACAAAATGGTGTCACTCTAGGAAATGGACGAACCTTATGTTAGGAACAGTATTCTCAAAAGCACCGGCGCAGTTCTTATTCGGAGACTCGTGGTAAGCGAGTTTCCCCCGTGAAATATTGTAAAAGTTGCTTCGTTCAAACCATGAAAAAAAGTTTACAATAGCAATCGAGAAACGAGGTACTGAAACTTGTGCAGGCTACTAGGAAATATTTGAAAACTTGTTACTCGGGTTGCAAGTTTCCATTCTACAGTTACCAAACACATAGATATAACTTTAACCTACACGGTTCAGACATACAAGACAGACATTTGACAGCTCATCATAATATTCTGCAAACCTACATAAATTTTCTAACAGAATTACTGTCATTCCACAAGATACTCCATTAAACCGGTTCAAAAAACAACCAAATCTTCTACCATCAAAATCTCCACCGTGCAACATTTAATATTTTTCAAATCTTCCTAAAATCGATGTTAGAATGATCGATTCTTGCCTCAGACACCGAAGTCTCTATCACAATAGAAAAATCATCGGTAGAATCGTGTTTCGCTCGGAGAGGAAGCAAGAATTCCGTGGTTTCTCGGTAACAGTTCAGAAAAAGGTGCCCCGTCGATAGGAAAAGTTAGCTGGCATTTAATTACTGTATCCACGGGCTCTGTTTTACGATCTACACGGTTGAACCTTGTTGCGTTTTACTTTCTCCGAGTTTTCCATTGGGTGTATATACACATAGAAAGCCCTGGCTGTCGTTCACGATGATGTTTCTAATGATCGCCGGAGCAAGACGTACTGGTGGCACGTGAGAGAACCGTGTGATCGCTTATTCATTCGAGGGTCGATCGCCGAGATACATACCTACATTCATTTTCCCCGAATCGACGTTAACCGTTCCGAGGATCGGTTTGTTAACGTGGCCTATAGAGCGATGTTTTCACTTGGCCGACCTGGCCGTCCGGTTCCCCTGTCAATCTGTTCAGACCACGTTGTTAGACGCAACCGTTTACTCGTTGTGGCTCTACGCCATGCCGATTCGTCGATTCTATTTTCCGGAGAATGAAATAATCTTCTACAGGTTGACGAACGATTTTCGGCTGCGTGAAGTTTCTCTTAGATTTTCGGCTGCAAAGAATTCTCTCTGACTGACGTTACTCGTGGAGTGAATAGAAAGTTATAAGGTGTATACTTATATGAAATTTTTCATTTTCCTGTGGGTGTTAAGTGATCATTGGAAAATTGCGGTTATCGAGAATTAGCGAATTACAGGGAAAACCGGAATTTAAAGTAAGCTCTATTAACGTTCACGATCACCAACACGGATTGATAATCCGTATGAAATATAATTGAAGTCGGCCTCGTATAGAATCCTATATAGTATGTTAATTCATTAATGCGCGCGTTTCCTCACGTCAAACGCCAATTAAAACGAAAATTAAACTGGAAGCTCGTGTTTCCTCGCCGCAGATTCGCAACGCAGCCGCCGCTGGAAAGTTAAGGGAAAATTCATTAATTCCGCGATCAACGACACGTGCTTCTTCTCGATCAGCTGTCGATTATAAATTGGAATTAAACGTGGAAACTCTCGGTGTCCGCGAATCTATTCATGACCGATTGGAAATTGAAAAAAAATGTGTATAGGTGTATTCGTTGCGTCTCTGTCTGGTGTCAGAATTGAAATCTACCTGGAACTCACAGCGAAACCTTTTTCCTTACATTGTCGCGAAAAAGAAAATGCTGTGTTTCTTATTTTTTACCAAATCGAGGGAAATGTTTCTTAACACTTTGATGTCGGTTGACAAGTAGTACGTCTGTTTCAAATAAAAACTTAAAGCGATTGACATAGTACATAGTACGTCTTTCTTAAATAAGAATTAGGAAAATCGATTTTCCAATATGTACAGTTTGACAAATAAAAGTTATGTATTAGTTTCTAAATATTTTTAGTTTTGTACATACTATAAAATAGCCCGCTCGGGGAGTACGAATTTAAGTTGAACCCTCCCGCCAGCAAAGTGTTAATACAAAATGCGATTCTAGATGAATGTTGAAAAGTTCGCAAGCCATAATACCTATAAAAAGAACGTTCGAACAAGGTTTTCGAACTTTTTTCAATTTCTTTCAATACACTTCCCCTCCATTGAAGGTAAATAAATATCCAATATGGCCACTATCGACCATTATTCTGACACAGTACACCATTCGAGACTGAATTTATGGGGCACGGTATATTATGTACAATACTTTAAATGACTTTAGATCACTTTTATCCTCAAATACTATTTAGAAAATTTCCGACTCGAGAGACAGACCGTGAAATTTTCCCCGTGGCGATGAAACAATTCGTTTCAAGAACACACGAATTTCATTATCTAGAGAAAAGAGTTTCGATCAACGAGTAAAAGATTAAAAAAAGTACTTTTAAACGTGGAAATTCTAAGTTTTGTAATAAATTGATACTTCTTGAACGAGTCAACATTTGGCAAGCAATTACTTAATCTCATTAATTGTTTAAAGCTTAGGATAGAGCCCTTAAATACAGCTACATCTTACTCTGTACTATTCGAATAAAATTCTGCCCAAGTCTGCCGAATACTGGCCGCGCTGGCATTGTCCACCGGAAGCGCGTCCGCTTTTCCGCGGGAATCCATGTCCCCACGGTCTGTCCGTTTGCCTGTCCCTTACGCAACACATTCGACAGGGAAAAATCCTGTAAAATGAACAAAAAAGTAAACAAAGAAGAACACGACTACTTTTATTCGAGCGCGTGCACGCGAGTGCGTTCACCGATGCGTCGCGCATCCCCCAATTGCCTGAACGGACATTGTTAATTCGCCAGGCCGATAAAACGCCGCTAATTAGACCCGCTTAATTACCCTGCTCGCCGAGTTGCGGCCCTCGAGCCTGCTTACGAAGCCTCACGACCATTCCGCGACTAATGGTTCCTCGATAATATTTTCGGTGACTAGGGGGCTTCTGATGATTCGAGGATCGATCGGCCATACCACTGGTTGTACACTAACGGGCACACTCAGCTTCTACTAAGGGAAAATGTGTCTTAGAAGAAAGGCCTCCTACCACTTGGTATCGGAAATTACTGAAATTTGTGACAAATTCATATTCGATTTAACATTTATTTCAGTACCTGAAATAAATTCATGAAGTGGTAGGAAGCCTTTCTTCTAGGACACTTTTTCCCCTAACCAAAGCCAAGTTTGCTCGTGAGGGTACAACAACGTATGAAAATCGAGATCGACTTCTTTCTAGGGAATTCGAACGGTATCTTGAGATTCGAGACACTTAACGGGTGGTGTTTTCACGGATTTCGATCGTCGATATCACGGATAGGCACAACCCCACGAGACAGTGTTTCCAGATCCTATTGGGCAATGCCCTGAAATAAACGCAGGAAAGATGATAAGGATCGGGAACGCGGTTTATAAGAGCCCGAGGAGGAAAAATCTTGGCCGCACGTCGGCAATACATTACGACTGTAAGGCGGCGATAATGCAATCGATCTGGAATATCTTTCGCGTTAAACGAGCAACGCCACGGAGCACCAATATCGTTTCCAGAACGCATTGTCTTTGTTCCATCGGCGTTCGCCGACGAAACGGACGTGGGGCTGTCGTGGAGGAGGGGAAGGGAAAAAAGGGGATCGGTTAGGAAAATGTGCGCGGGGTGCAGCCTGGTTTTTGTCAGGTAAAACAACGGTCATTACGGTACCCCCAGGTATGCACCTAGTCGCTGATGACGTCAAACAACTTACCACTTTTCGATGATCTCTAATGACCAGGGTCCATTGTTGGACCGTGGAACTGAATGAAATTTCGCCAAAGAATTGTCTGTTCCTTGTCGTCCAATTCTTTGGTGTTTCATATTTACCTACGCGTTGAAAAAAAAAGGAGCGAATACAAAGAACTCCGAAAAATATACTTTTATAGTATATTCCTCTTTTAATAGACTCGAGATGGAAAATTAGATTAGTTAGACCACTCGAAAGCAGGATTTATCACGATCTGAACGTTCTAATAGGTTTCGAAAGCCACGGCA